TTCGAGAGTAGACTTCTCTAACCGAATTAGACTCAAAAGTAGACTTCTTTGACCAACAATAACTATTGTTCTGAGTAGTTGATCTCAAAGTTATTGTTCTGACTGGAAAGTTTTCATCAGCTCAACATGGAGCATGGTATAGATGATCAGCGATTTCATAGACCACTAGGTGCACAAGGTGCTCAAGGAGTTGCTGGTGTTCAGGGACAGCAAGGAGTCCAAGGTGAACAAGGTCAGAGAGGACCAGCACATGGTGCACGCCCAATCAGACCCATTGGAGCTGGTGACACACCAAAAGCTTACAACAACAGAACAGGGATCCTTCATCCAGCAGTTCAGAACAATAAGTTTGAGATCAAATCTGGATTGATCTCAATGGTTCAAGGCAGCAAGTTTCATGGGTTACCACTTGAATACCCTCTGGATCACTTGGATAACTTTGATAGACTATGCTCACTAACCAAGATCAATGGGGTGAGTGAAGATGGTTTCAAGCTAAGGTTGTTCCCTTTCTCTCTTGGCGACAAAGCACACCAATGGGAGAAAAACTTGCCTCAAAGAAGTATCACCAGTTGGGATGAGTGCAAGAGAGCCTTTTTAGCAAAGTTCTTCTCCACTTCAAGGACTGCTAGAATCAGGAATGAGATCTCTGGTTTTGTTCAGAAGAATAGTGAGAGCTTTGGTGAAGCATGGGAGAGATTCAAAGGGTACACACTTCAGTGCCCTCACCATGGTTTTTCACAAGCTTCACTCCTCTCAACCTTATATAGAGGCGCTCTCCCTAAGATCAGGATGCTACTTGATATTGCCTCCAATGGAAACTTCCTATCTAAGGATGTAGATGAAGGCCTAGAGCTGGTGGAGAACTTAGCCCAAAGTGATGGCAATTATAGTGAAGACTATGAAAGAACTCCAAGAGGAGAGGATGGTAACACTAAGAAGGAGCTGGAGTCTACAAGAAGAGAGTTGAAAGCTGAACACTAGGCTTGACAAACTGCTCCAAGTGCAACACAAAGAGATCAATTATGTTGATGAAATGGTGGAGATGCCTAATGAATAGGATCTACAAGTAGAGGAGATGAACTACTTGGGAAAACCAGAAGCTAACCCTAAGGAGTTCAGCAACGCCATAGTTACTGAAGAAGAGACCTTCTCAGATGAAGAGGAAGCTGTCATTGGGTGCCACCAAGGGCATCCTGTCAATAAGCGCCAAGGAGGAGGAGACACCCAAGGAGAGAGAGGCCAATGAGGAGCCACAACATTGACATGGAGGACCTTTCAGGCGCCTCATACACCTCCCACACAATCTTCTAAGGTACCAAAAACTCCTCCATTGTATATATCATTGCATTTTTCTAGTTCTTGTAATATATTTTTGTTGCTTCTCTCTTCTACTCTATTACACAAGGGATTGTGTAATTTAAGTGTGGGGAGAGATTTGGGGTTTAACTTTGTTTGTTCTTTTCTTAGTTTTTCATTTTCATCCATGTTTGAGTCCCATGCATTCATCTAAGTGCATTAAAAAACAAAAAAAAAATCGAAAGTTTTTTAAAAATTTGCATCTTTTGCAAACCAAAAAAAAAAGCATGTAGTTGCATTCATTTGTTTAGGATTGATTCTAGTATTTTTCATATAGGTTGCATTGAATTTGCATAAGGCATAATGATGATAATTTCTTGTAAAATGCTAAGTGTTTAAAATTAATTTAAATGCCTAAGTGGTTAAAATATCTGATGCATTATAAGAAGTTAGAAACTAAGGTTGAACCATGCTCTTTAATGCTAAATCTGATCCTCTAGTCTCATGCTAAAATTGCTTGCTCTCTGAAAATCATCCCTATTTATTAGAACCATTAATTTGAATTGTCAATTATCATGTTCTTGCATTGAAAAGTCGTTTCATGGATTATCCATATATTTGGACTTTCTTTCTTCCTTTATACCTCTCTTGCTAGTCCAAATAGCTGATCCTCATCATTAAGGGACAGTTACCACACCTTAACCTTATCTTCCTTTCCAACCCAAACACTATCTTTGTGTGTGTGAGGCCTATTTTTGAATGAGCTAAGCATAAAGTGTTAGGTAGGCACGACAAGGATAGGTTGCTATGTAGAAATAGCTCTTCACTTTGAGTTAGACATAGGTTTAGGATGGTAGTTATAGGTCTAGGCGGATTTGAGTGTTACATTGATCTAAAAGGGGAGAGTGAGAGAAGGAAGAAAGTGAAAGGGAAATGGAATGAGAATGGGAAATCAAGCAAAAACTCAGCATGTGTGGAACCAAATAAGCTCAAAAGGGGTGGTCATTATGAAGATAGAGTCTCAGCAACAACAAAGAAGGCATCAAAGCCTAAATACATCAAAAGGATGAAGAAATGGAGACTCCCAAATACAAAGAAAAGGCGCCCACAACAAAGGAGCACAAAGAAGGCCACAACATGATGAGATCAAAGAAGATGCTTTCCTGAAAATGTCAAAGTGTGGAGAGTGTGAGAGTGTTGAGAAAGGGTAGCTAAGATTGGGTGGGGTAAGAGTTTTAGGGTTTAGAACATTCTTAGGCATTGGTAGATAGTAATTTATCCTTGTATGCATAAGTTGTGCTTAACCTTTAGCATTATGTCCAAGTTCATTCCTTTTTGAGAGAACCCCTTACACTTGAACCCACATTTTAATGAGATCATTTTTATCTCACAACCTTAACCCTTAGCCAAATAATTCCACTTGATTTTCTTGAACATGATTCACTTGGTTACAAAGTTTAAATGAATGTTAAAGGGATTGACTGATTTGAGCATTTGACTAGGCTGAACTGGAGATCATTTTGAAACTGGAAAGGCATGGCTAAGTTCTTATTAGTATGACTGATTATGTTTTGCATCCTACACTTAAGCACTTAGACATTGACTTTACTTCTTTACCTTAGCATTTTTGGATTTGAGTGCCCACCTTCAAACCTCACTTCCTCTTTGTCTTAGTTTGTTTGCTTGAGGACAAAGAAAAGGCAAGTGTGGGGGTGTTGATATCTCCATTATTTATACCATTTTAGCTTGCATTCATCACTAGTTTTAGTCTTTAAACATGCATATTTTGCTTTTTCATGTCCCATTTGCATACATTTAGGAGTTAGTGTAGTTTTAGGAGCTGCATTGCATTTTGCATGCATTTGGAGTTTTATTCAGGTACTAGAAAGAGTGTGGAGGTAATGTGGTGCAATGGGTGTGAGCTGGGAATGTATCAAGGCAAGGGACAAAGGCGGATAGGCCAATATCGATGATGATATCGACATCATCTGATCGATACGGAGCATATCGATGGGAATATCGACCACTTCAGCATCGATACTGTAAAGGCGTGGTGAGAAGGAAGCATGTCGACTAAGAGACACCTCGATGCAACAGAAGGGAGTCCATATCGAGCAGTGTATCGACGTCCCAGACCGATACACCTGACAGGACAATACTGAGGTGCCATATCGACTTGCTTGACCAATGAGCCTTGACTAAAAGGGCGATTGTATCGACTTCACACCATGGAGAGCCAAACCGATACAACATAGGAGCCTTTTGTATCGACGTGCATATCGACCAAGAGACATCGATACACCCCAGAACAAGAGATGATATCGACTTGTATGTTCACAGTCGATATGGTCTGTCCGAGTCAGCTTATTTTTGGTTTAATCTTGGTTTACTAAGAGTTTCCTAGTTCCCCTATAAATATTAAAGTCCTAAAATGGTTAGGCCACTTGGATCTTATTATTTTCTTCTGTTCTTACACTTAAAAACCTTTCCCTTTTCAGCTTTACTTTGGAAGAACTAGTTTGATTTAGTGAATTTATGTATTTGCCTTTCATCTATGACTGTTTATTCTGCTTCTTAATCATGCTTAACCATTATTTCTCTTTGGAATTTGTGGTTTTGACTATGGCTAGTGAGTAGTGTTATTTAGGGTTTGAGATGGGATAGATTAAAGGAGTTTTAGGACTAGATTAGTGATGTCTTGTGCTTAATATGATTGTCTTCTCTCTATTAGATGTGCTTAACACTAGATTAGTCTTGGTCAGGCTTATTTAGTATTTTGGCTTTCTCTTGCGCCTGATAGGTGTTTAATGAAATGCTTCTTAGAGTCTCTTAGAAGATTTGTATGTTTAGCCTAAGGAATTAGATGTCTAAGGTGCATTTTGGCTTTATAGGATTGGAATTATGTTTTGAATGCTTGCTGATCATGTGTTTGAGTAAAGGGATTTATCTGAAATGTGTGCTTAGCAAAGTGATTAGAAATTGAGCTAGTTATAGTTGTTAATTATATGCCTAGAAAATAGCATTGTTTGAATGTTTTTGAAACATCATTAGTTAGGATCTAATTCCCTCTTAATCAATAACCCCCATCTTAGATCCTTACTTTATCTATTTGAATTTCCTGCTTTGCTTAGTTCACTCTTTAGACTTGTTTAGTTTGTTCACAACTGCTTTCTTGAATTTGGCTTGACTTTAGTGATTTGTTGTATTCTTGGTGTCTTAAGAACTCAGATGGATTGATACCTTACATGCTGCAATGACATCAGTGTGTTAGGATTTGCTTAGCTAGTCAAAATCCAACTATCAACTGCCGACCTTATCTGGAAATTGCCATAGTTATCCAACTTCACTGCATATACTCTCCAGAGGCAACTCCGATCGATACATCTCATCACCATGAACGCAGGTGTTGATCTTGTGGTGCGGAAGTAAAATTTTCTGTTAATAGCGTGAATAGCTATTTTGATTTTACAATCCACCTTACTTTTGAAGACTCTTCCGATAAATAAGTTATCACCTTCGTAGTCGACATCAGACATAGCATTATTAACCCCTATATTGGTATACATATTCATATGAGATTGCAGAAGACCTTACCATACTACATCTTCCATATAATATAGTTTCAGATATATATAGTATATACAGAACTAGTTATATGTTTAGTAAATTTCCAACGATGGAGTGAGTTAGAACAAATTACCATCAGTCTCGCTCATATCAAAGACAGGAGGTGCGTCTCTAGCGAACAACACCAGATCATTACCGTTGTCTGTCAGCATTGCGTGTAGGGACTCCTCAAACTTCTTATAGGTGGTTAATGTCGACGTCCCTTCACCATCCACATTCTCCTCTGTTTCGTCCTCCCCTGAGTAAGAGTCTGACTCCTCTTCTCCCTCCGAGTCGTGGAATAGCCTCCTCCTAATGGGCACTAGAGACCTTTTCTCTGTTGGTGTCATTTGTGTGTTTATAGCATCGTCGCTGTCAGAAGGGGTATCCTCTGGCAGAGCAGGGGCCTTACCTTTCTTCGAAAGGGAAGCCGTAAGATGGCTTATAGACCGAGTTGATCGATCACCCTCTCTGATATTGATACCAGTTGCTTTTCGTAGTATAGTATTCCAGGGCCTTTTACCATTGCCTTTAACTCATGCGTCTGGGTAACCGGGAGTGTCATAAGTGTTTCGGACATGAAAAGGTCATGCCAGTGCTCGTCAGGTTCCGAATCGCCTTCTCCAGCAACTCATTCCGCTACAGTACCAGTTGTAATTTGAGGGTGTGTTTCTCCCATTGCCATTTGCACTCTGTGAACTAATCGGCTTGGTGTAACGCATAGATTCACTTCCTCAATAGTTCGCCTCATTTCAACAAAGACAACTACTTCTTGGTCGTCGGTTATGAATTGCGGATCACACGTATCCCCCTCATTAATCTCCAACCAAGTAGGGTACTGGTAAGAGAGTTTGACAGAGATGTTCGATACCGTTAAGTTTAGCTTCTCTTTCACTTTGTTCACCAGCTCTGAATGACTCATCCTGGTATTTAGCTGTATGAAAGCCGGTCCAATCGATGGTAATGATTCAAAGACCCATTTCCCATGAGAATCTCGGATCCAATTCCCAGCTACAACATCGACCGTGTCATGATCTTCCATCTGATAAAAAAATCTCACTCAAATTAGTATCAACTATATTATAGATGGAGTTTGGTATGGTAACATATAGTCTACTTATCTGCTCGAAAACACTTATATACTTTTCTATTCGAATACATTCACAGTACCATCACATAAAAGCACCGACATTGATTTAATAAACGAACTTACCACTTTATTTGTCGACTCTGTATTTACTTTACAACTACTTTTCTTTGAAGATTCTACTGAACAAAGACAGTATACACAGGTTATTAACAGAGAATCAGCTTTTAGTACTCAGGTGAATAATTGTGAGCCATATAATTTAGGGTTAAGCTGTCATCAATCAGAAGTTATTAACCTCACATGGTTAGGTTAGTGAAACGTGAGGCTTTGGTGTAAAAGCTACGCTCTATAAACGTCATGTCAAGTCGGAAGACCATTTTGGTCAATGAAGTAAAGGTCATTTTGGTCATTGTGTTGTATTCGATGGTTACTTTTTAAATTTTGTATTCCATATATGTAGCTATATTTTTCATTATGGACCCATATATGAATATCCACCAAAAATATTTTTTAAATATTTAGTTTTTCATATTCTTACTTTAATCGATAAAAAAAATTAATATTATAAAACTATTCAAATATTTATTTAATTTTCAATTTTTGACGAGTTAGATTCTCTTATTTGATATTTCCATTTTAATATGTTATGTATATAATAAAATTAAGAGAGCACCATAGATTTATATATATATATATATATATATATATATATATATTTAATATATATATATTCAATGTTACTTTGACTATAATATATACATTCAATGCATTCAAACGTTTCCTAAATAATTTAGTCACCAATAGATTTTACATCTTTTTAATATTTATAAATAGGGAAGAAAAGTTTATTTAACCACTTCCACAAAATTTACATAATCATGGCTTTTTTCAATAAACTTCATTACATATTGATATTGATGATCTCATGTAATTTTCTTTTTTTCACATTGGCGTTCAATGTTTCAAATGTTGCAGTGGAAGTGGAGTCATTTACAGTAGAAGATACTTATGAGTTTCAATTAACAAATAAAGGCACTTTCAGCGGGTGGAGCACTTTAGAACTGAAGAAAAAATTTTATTCCAAATTTGCCCTCAAATCATAGAAAACGAAGTTACAATCGGATGAGAAAGGGGAAGCTGTTTGAGTGTTTCATTGTTTTCGTCAAGAGAGAGATGTTAGTTGTTTAGGAGTTTTAATAAAACTTTTTTTCTCAGCCCTTAGATTATAATAAATAAATTTTCAAATAAATGGTTGAGATTCTGGGTAGTTGCATCAAAATTCCTAAAGACTGGAGATATTATTTTTATCGTCTTCTACAACATCTCAAAAATCAGGAACTGAGAGAATCAACAAATAACATTTAAGATTTCTAAATCCAAGCGAACAAGATCTTCAGTTACCCAAAATCATGATTTTTTTTACAGAGATAAAAAGATTTATGCAAAGAGTGGAAATATTTAAGTACCTAAAGAGAAGATGAATGTTGGAGGATTTGGTGCTATTTTATTATGTTTCCAAGCAAACCATGAATCTTCTGAAATTTAGGTGGAATTTCCGATTCTTCTAAAATATATTTAGGCTGTTCTCCGATTCAGGAAAAAATGGTAGTAGATGAGGAAGGGTTTATTATGAACAGATTATCATAGATAAGTTATCATGGACAGGTCATCATGGATAGTTTATCATATACAAGATATCGTGGACATTTGAAGAATTAACAGAATCGTGGATAAATTATTGTGGATCATTTATCATGAATAAATTTAATATCTTCTCAATAGATATGCTTTTCAGTTGTTTAACAGTTCGTAGTTCAGGATAAATAACACAAAATAGGATAAATTGCATCTTTTGTGTAATCTAGTGATCTATTATTCTTTAGAAATGAGATTAATTGTTCTATTCTCTTTCTTTCTCCAACAACACAAAGTTCACATTAATTGTGTATTAGGAGAATTTTCAGTTCTTTGTGTAGGTGACTAAATCGATGTAATCTTGTAAATGACTGTAAAAGTTTGTGATGTTTGATAAAAAAAAGTGCAATTGTGAAAGAGGAGTTCGTGATGTTTGATCAAAAATGTGCAATTGCATGTTGACAAGGCAAACTAATCCATATGTACCTATTCACAAGGGAAAACCAAACAGTGGACATGTGAAAGATATTAAGATAACAAAAAGATATTAAGATAACAAATAAAAGTATTGGGTGATGAAAGAAGTTCTTGCCCACCGGTTGATGTCTTTGGTTGTGTCCATGCTTTGATGTCCATATGTTCACCATTTGCTGTCCATCTGGTGAGAATGCATACGTTGATTGTATCCACGTTTTGCCGTCCATCTATTCAACAACTTTTAGTTGTACTATTGTGATCAGATGCTGCATTAACATATGGATGAATCATATGTTAATCATAGTTGAAACAAGAAAATAAAATATTCAATTAAAATTTTCAGCTTAATGATCTCTAATTGCAGATGTTTAATTAAAAAAGTCTAGAGTATGAAATTTAATTAAAAGTCAGCTCATGATCTCTTTCACAAATTATGATGGATGAATGGAGTTACAAACATGTCACCGTGGACATATTATCATGGACACATGTAGTATCTATATGGACAAAAGAAAATGGACAGAATTTTGTGAACACATTTAGGAATTTGTATACAACTAAAAAAACGGCATCTGAAACGTTATCACATACATGGTGGATATGAACAAACAACAGTCACAAAATTGTTTTGAAAATTTACTTGCAATTGAAATAAATGATTCGCAAAGCTTATTAAAAAGAAATCGGTTTGTAGATGAAAGCAACATAAACAATTCAGATTAGTACAACAAGAATGATCTGAAAAGATCAGATCTGGTAGTACTTCGAGTGTAATTAGAAAGATTTATAGAAATTGTGAAAAGATAAATACCATTATTGATACTTGAGTATAAAGCAATTTATAATTGGCTCTTTTCAAGTAATCACTACTCGGAGACGGAGACCGAAACAGATGCGGCTCCTGAACAATTTTCTTCAACTTCAATTGTAGGGATTTCTCCTCTTTTTTGAAGTAAGAGAGATAAAGAGAGAGAGCTTCGAGGTTTTAATGTTTGAGAAAGAGAGGGTTTGATCATAATTTATTAAAGAGATTGGGGTACGATGGTAGTGGTGGTGATGGGAGCAAGGAGTCAATAAGAGATTAAAAGATTTAAAGAATTTTAGAAGAGAAGCTAAAATATATTTGGAACGAAGAGGAAGAAAAAAAAAAGATTAAGTTAGATGTAGAAGTTTAGTTAAGGGAGTACAAAAGGCTTTTACTTTATACAAAGTATACCAAGAGCACAAAGTATCTTTTTCTGTAATTATAAACTCTATAAGTGTCTTTGAGTGTAACAATCTCGTGGAAGTGGCATCTAGCGAAGATGGCTTCTGGCCTTTTGCAAAAAAACATGTCATAATCCGTAACCAGTTAGCAAACAAAGGGACTCTGAATGCACATTGTAAATCTACTGAGGATGATTTAGGGGTAATCCATATCCCTTGGGGTGGTACTTGGGGTTTCAGATTTAAAGTTAACTTTTTAAAAACTACCAAATTTCGTTGTCAATTTACGGGGACTGGAGATGGATTAACTCACGCATTTAATATATTTGATGTATCAAGAGATGATAATAACTTTGGAGATTATCCTGTATGTGAAGTATGTATTTGGGAGGTGGGAAAAGAAGATACAAAACCTATGTGTCGTATGGTTCGTGATAAATATGCCGAAATTAAAAGTTATTGTTTCCGTTGGGAAGATATTTTATAAAAAGAAAATAAGATGTAGAAAATAAAAAATAAGATTATTGTCATTACGGTATCTCACCTACTAATATACTTACTATCGTCATAGAATTAATGAAATATATTCATTCATCATGTTTTTTTTTTTGGATGAATCTTACTATATCATGTTCTAATGTTTAGAAGCTCTCTATGAAATCTTTCTATATCCACATAAGTAAACTAAGTTTTTAAGTATATTTGTAAATTATTCATGAGTGATGTTCCAATTAGGAGACCCAATCTAAAAAAACAAATTAATGAGTTAATGAGTCATCCAAATTATCAGAAAAATAAAACGAAAAGATCATATGAATTAAGCACAACAGAAGCCTATACAACGAAACAATAACGAATAGTTTGTTCATTATTGTCAGTCTCTAAAAGTTTCACAATTTGTTGTGTTATTCTTGTCGAACCAAATCTCGCAAATGCAACGGTTGAATTTTTATTTACTAAACCGAAATTCCATAAAACCAAACCTAATAATTAAAATAGATATTCGATTTCAGTTTCTATTAGATAAATAAAAAAAGGAGGAAGCAGAATCAAACTGTAAACCAGATTATTAAACCTCTAATTGTTACACCAGAGGAAATGTTTGGGCTGACACCATAAGAGATCCTCCTTGCAAATTCATGAGTTTCTTCGTGACGATGTGGCGACTATCACTGCAAATGCATTTATGGGTGTGACAGACTGACATTTTCTGTCACCTCCCATTAAGTCATTAGTAATGTTTTATATCCATTGTTAAAATCATAACTGATGAGATCGAGCTTCAGTTCAGCTTTGAGAAACTGAAGAGATCGAGCTTGTTAAAGTCTATTTTTAGTGATGTTTTATATCCATTGTTAAAGTCATTAGTAATGTTTTATATCCAATGTATACTTGGAGAAATTGATGCGATCGAGCATCAGTTCTAACGTTTTATATCCATTGTTAAAATCAAAATGTTTATTATTTATAAGGTTTTATAATTCTGAGATGCGATCGAGCTTCAGTTCTCACATGCAAATCATTTGTCCTTCTGGTCGAATGTGAACATCGAATAGGAATAGGAGGAGGATCAAGAAGAGTAGGTTGCAAAACAAATTGTTTTCAGCAATCGAACATGTGTCGCTGTTTGCTACAGAAACTGAAATTTTGCTTTCAATTGATGAATCAAATTCTACAAATACAAATTGACTAGATATTAAAATAATTAATCGATGAAATTTATACAAAGAAACCTAAACCAAAGGAAAAGAGTGCTATTTAAAAGTGAAAAGAACTAATCAAAATGTTACAAACGGACTCAAGAAACTTGTTCAAATATTTTATGCAAGTCTCCCTAAGCAATTAAATGATACATTGAATCTATATCTCTCGACATTTCAGAGTAGTGACCCAAACGTCTCAGACTCCAACACAAGCCACTTAAGTCCCTTGAAGCTGATCTATATATGCTTGTCCTTCAACAAACCTAAATCACTTTGACTCTCTATCGAATCAAGTGGTAAAAAAGGCAAAACATTGTAACAAAGATTGAAAACAAACTCATGATAAAGAATTTTAGAAGAAGGTTACCAGTTTCATAAAAGCTTGGGTGGTGATGAAGTTTTGTAAATGATCGCAAACTAAACCGGTGGCAATGAAAGCTGTTCGGAACTTCTGAGAAGAGTGTCGTTCTGATTGAAGATGAAATCGATTCCATCGTTGAATTCGATTGTAAGCTCTGAAATCAAAATTAAAAAAATATAAAATCGGTTCAATACATGAGACTGAAAATGAAATCATTTCTAAAAACAGGCTGGTGTCGAAGATTATCATCACATATATCCTAGAAGAATGACCTAAATTTGATTGGAGATATCGTATTTTGTTTGTTTTTCTTTTTTCCAGTTAAATGAAGGCGCAATAAAATCATTTTGATTAATGTTAGAGGGAAAATGAGTACATTTTCTAAAAGTTTTTCTTTAATAATAACCTAAGCCCATCAACAACAAGAAAACTGTGCCGACATAGTTCTAAAAACGAAAACCTCGAAGATAATCTCAAAACTCCCCAAGTTGGATAAGCTCAAAAGAATCATATATATAATGAGCAAGTTATCTTTCCATCTAAATTGTCCACATCAGCATAGTTTTTATTTTAAAATAGGCTTATAAATATTTTGGGTTTTGTTTTTAAGTTTTTATATTTTGGGTATTTATTTTTGGGCTTTTAATATGATTAATTTGAAAAAAACAAATATTTATTTTACAAATCATAAAAATTACAAATTCTTCATTTGTGAAAAGGAGTTATGAAGGATTTATTCGAAAAACTTACAGAAAATAATTATTAAACTTTATAAAAAAAACCTTAGAAAGATTTATATATAAAGCTAAAGTAAAATCATATATATTAAACAAATACTTATTTTATAAACTATAAAAACTACAAATTCTCTTTGAAATAAAAAAATTCATAAAGTTATTTCGAATATAAACAAACATAATTTGAAAAAGAGTTGGAAAATGAACATTTATGAAATATGACAGAAGAATTTGCTGAGAATAGTTATCAAACTTATTTAAAATACTCTGAAATATTTATGCTTAAAACTAAAGTAAAATCATTATATCCACTTTACTGTATAAAATGAATGAAACCTTTTCATAAATAAAGAAAAATAAAGTGTATAATTATATATCATAGAAATGAATTTGATTTATACGAAAGAGGAAAAAAAGAGAAATACTTATCAACCATTTTTCTTAATGATGGTAATATAAAATTGATATGCGATCACATTACTCATCAACCGGATAATATATGATTTCTAATTTAAAATATATAAATAAACTAAAACAAGATTATTGATTATACTTTTTAAGATAGTCATGTTGTTTACATTCACATGTTATGAAAATAGACAAAAATATTCGCACACATTCACAAATATAGTCAAGTAGTTCATAATTGAAAAAAAATGTCTCAAATCAATTAAAATCAACAATTTATCAACTATGCATAATTTTTTGATATAAAAACCCATCGTTTGTATGTAATATTTGAACAGATCTTTTGTTCTGTCTAGCCAACTCTAACTAAAATTCAAGAGTTATAACCGATCACAAAACTAAATGAGATGGAAGCTTGCATGAAATAAGAGAAAAAATCAGGAGATTGCAATCGGAATAGCAAGACTAAGAGCTATAAGTAAGGATAAAAAATAAAGGACTAATTGTGCTTAAAAATGAGGTAGATTCCATAAAAAATTAAAGGAACATTTAGTTTAGAGTGGAGAAAGATTAATGATAATTTCACTTTATTGATCTATGAAAAAAAGATGTAGAAAAAGATGAAAAATCAATTGAATACAGATAAACAGTAAGAATATAACAATTAATACATGACAATCTATATTAGAAAAATAATTTTACAATATAGATATATATATTAGGACAACAAAAACATTTAAAAAATAAAAAATAAATATAACATACAATAACATTAATTTAATACAACATATATAAATATATAAAATTTTAATAAAATTAATGAATAAGTCCACGCAACGCGCGGATAAAAATCTAATATTTAAAAAAAAATGATAATTTCCATATTCTTCGGAGAATAAGAGATATTTTCATATCGCAAATATGGAAATATTTACCGAATGAGAAAAAGAAAAGGAGCTTGGAGCAACCGAACTCCTATTCCTATAAATAAGAACACCCCAGAGCTCAAGAGGAACAACTCATACAACCTAGAGAGCAGCAGAGCTAAAACCAAGAACTCCAACGCTTTCTAGTTTACCTCGCAAACACTTCATTCACTTGGGCATAACCTCTCGGTTAAGATATCTCTTCTAATTGTTTCATCATCGAGCTATTAATAAAAAACTTATTCTCTGAAACCCACAACTGTTAATCAAAACCCTAGTGATGATTTTCTGGTTCAACAATTGGTGCCGTTTGGGGGGACTAGGAGAATAAATTCTAAAAACTAGCAAGAGAAGATCCGAAGCGATGAGCCTTCCGACCGACGACAGCAACCTCACCATCCTCACTTCTAACACAGAGGATACTACCATGCATGCTGATACGCCTGCTCTCGATGAGCACGACAACCCTATCATCGCGATCCCACCACCCGCAGGAGCACCTCCGGCCCCTATCCTTGCTGCTGACCTCGCCGCAGCGATCCAAGCCGCCTTGCTACCACTCACACAGAACCTGGGGTCCAAGCTAAACACCCTTCAGGCCCAGCAGGCCGAGTACGACGAGCAGCTCAGCACTTTGGCAGGCGCGACTACCGCAAGTCAGCACCGCTAGAGCGTCGGTTGGTCTTTGAAACGTTGGAGCACAGCAACACTCGAGGTGCAGCACCAGCCAATGACGAACCAACCGACAAACTGAATTCCGAGATCGCAAAGCTGCATCAGCAAATCAACGCGATCGGATCTCAAGTCCATCGCGCCACCATTTCGGCACCTGAGATCTCGGTAATTCTGTTAGATACCAAACGCAATCCATTCGCTTTGCGGATCACCGACGTTCGTCTCGGCGCGGCATTCAAACTTAAACTCCCTTACTACAACGGAACGGAGGGTCCCAATCTATGGCTCACCGGTTTCAA